CCCTACAATTTTCGCACAACTTAATTATTTACTTTATCGTTTAAATCCTTTTGGATTACTATTTCTTTTTTAAAAATAACGAATATTGATGAACTATATTCCCAAAGAAGAATAATCTACATTTCTTCTCTCAGCTACTTTTACGAAAATATATGTTATCAAATCACGCATATTTCGTCTGATTTCTCCGTAACAGCCGTAAAAGTCCTACAGACTTCTCATTCAAATAGAAAGCAAAATGTAAATAATTGACGATGCATAATTCGAACTGATGTGCACAGTAACACAGATATTTCTTTTTATGCATGATAAAACGGTGATGCGTGTGCACAATTCACATGTTAGAGTGCCAACATTCTATTGCATATCATCATCTGTATCGTCTACTGAGTCTATTTCGACTTTCTAGTCTTTCTTACGTTCGAAGAATACTTGACAACGTTGTGCTTACAATACCTCGGTCTGCGTGTCTATCAACGTACAGCAGCGTAAAAAAAAAATCGAAATACATTCGCCTACAGTTTGTGATTGTATCATTAACTTCCTTCCTTTTTTTTTGTTTTCTATAAAATTTGTGCTTTTACGGAAGTGGAAATGTACCATTAGAGAATACAAATAGAGTTGGTTAGTAATATAAATTTCACAATTGATTGTAAAATCGACCTTGAAATTTGTAAAACTGTTCAAATATCTCGCGTTTATCCGGCTCTTCGCAAAAAACTTAAATTCTTAGAAAGTATCCATATTTATAACCGTTGAATATGTAGTGAATTTTTATAAATTTCTCACATACATAGAGACTCTAAAATTCACTTTGGAAATCAATCTCACAATTAGTTCCACGTATATAAGGATCACGGCACATTAATTTGTAAACCACAATCATTTGTATTTCACATTTATGTCGCTGCTAATGACATTAGTTGGTGGATCTTACCTATTGTTTATTATTTTTATCTATGGTTTTGTTTAAGTGTCTTATATATATAATTAATAACATGTTACATAGATACGGTATTGTCTATTACAAAGTTATGATTTCTATATCTTTGGATAAAAGGTCAGGAGTACATTGCAGTAATATATTTTTTTTTTGTTTGTTAAATTGTGATACAATTCTTAAATAGCGATTGTATATATGCGCGATAGAAAAGTCGAACGTATACGATGTATGATAAAACAAATAGTTATACGTCTGTATCAGAAAGAGATACTTTCCAATTCTCTTTAAGAATAATAAAACGTGATACATAAAGATAAAACGTGATACGAATAAAATAGATAAAATAAGCAAATAATTAAACAAACAAAATTAAAAAATAAATATTCGTGTATACAAGAAAACGATCTTATATCTATACATACATATCTTTTTCTCGTTATTATATTAAATAAATTAAAATTTTTAATTGTAACTATTTTCAAATATAATTTAACATTAAAATATTTCTCATTATTTAATAAAATATGAAATTATGAAATCAATAACCAAGGTCATAAAATATTGATATAATATAATAACATAGATTAATATTTATGAAAAAAAGTAAATAAAGATAAAAAAATAAAATCACAGATTATATACCACGTCATATACTTAATTTTATATATATAATATTATGTGATATAATAATAATCAAGGTATAATATTACATAATAGATTAGATATAGTATAAATATTGTTGCCATTTTGCGACTTAATGCACACATTGTTGAATATATATAAATATATATAAGAATTTTAATTAAGAAAATTTGGAAAGTACATCTTACCCCTTGATGCAAATCTTTAGGGTAACATATAATTAATACTTGATTTATAATATAACTTGATTTTTTTTAAAACAGGAATAGAGAGAAAAAAAATTAGTATGCGTAACACTTTACACAGTCCTGTCAATGAAAAGAAGTATATATTAGATAGATATAATACATAATGCATCTTAATATATTAAAATTGTTTCTCTCTTTCTTTTTCGCAAGTTAATATTCTATCCATAACTTGAAACAATCGACAAGGAATGCAGCCTAGCATCTAACATCTACAATAATCATACCTTGTTGTTGTTTCAATAAAGTCGATTGATAATGGAAATGTCATCACGAAGAATAAAAATGCAACAATCTTTACTTATGCAGATACGAATAAAATCACGACTGCGATAAAACTCATCTATAAAAAAATACAATATAAAACAGGTTGCACGTTTAGTTCGCACACGAGAGAGAACA